ACACACCAGACTAAAGATGTATAAACTATTAGCATGCCTTCTCGTCCCTTTCTCAGCTTGTCAGTTGACAATTTTTTTTGTCCACAAGGGAACCCAAATGCATCAGGCTGTTATATCTAACCAGGAAAACTGATAATTTGTAGTGCTTCAGCCAAGAGGATTGATTCAGTTAGTCAGTAATCTTTTAAGGATTGCATAAATTGAAACTTGCAAAATCAACTGAGTGGAAAAAATTTGAGTTAAACATATAGTTCTCCTGGCAAATGTGTTATATTGGAAATTCTTGAGTTTTTCAATTTTATACGGTTCGTCCTTTACTGACCAGCAGAAAAGCGACGCAGTAATCTCAAAATAATAAAAAACCCTTAACGTAGTCATGATTGATGACGCATTCCATCGATGAGCGAACGCATGTTGTTGCTGACAATAAAAAAGACATGGGAGGCATGACTCTTTGATAGAACTAAACGATAATGTTGGCGTTTACTACTAATCCAAAGGTTTAAGATCCGGCTTAAAAATGTTCAAATGTTCAAATGTTGTTGCTTAGAGTGGACAATGCGCTTTGCTACACCTAGCTAGTTCTCAGGCATGCCAGTTAAACCGAAGAGAAAGAAATACTTATATTTAAACTCATGGAACATTGTAATTCGCACAACATGTTGCATGCGTTTGATCACTCTCAGTTGCAATACGTCAGATGTTGCTGGATCATTTTGTCGTGAAACAGTTTTAAGAGGTTAACATTATTGCACCAGATCTTGCGCAGTGCTATCCAGTTTTTAATGCAATACCATAAACTGACGCCCTGGGCTTATACAACTTCGTAAGGGGTTTTGGATGGGCTTATAAGTCTTATACTGACGAAGGGGCTTATAACCGGAGTAAAAGAACCGTTTCGAAACGAACTATAGCTGCATATGTTGAGCGAAATAGGTTTTAACATCATAATAAAACGAATTCAAAACAAGGAACAAGGAAAGGTTCATAACCGGGAAGGCTTATAATTGGATGTATTTTTAGGTTTACGGGAAGGTTAACCTTTAACCGGGGAGATTTTTAAGCCGGGGAGAGGGGGGTTTAGAGGTAGTTTACGGTAATCAGGGTGGCATAACGTAGTGGGGCATGCAACAATGCGCAAGAATGTTGTAATATGCTAAGTTGAATTGTACAGTCCGCATGGCTCGGCCTTTAACTAACACGCTGCCAGCAGGATTTCAGTTTCGATGATTAATGGTCAATTTCCTATTAGCTACTTCTTGTTAAACTTGCTAACTGGCGCATAGTCTCGATCAATATCGTAAAAGCTTATGCAAAATGCTCCAGGGGTTCTAAATATCATTTATAATGATAATAAGGACCTATTACCCGAGAGTAGTCCACGGTCTTGCTGTGCTGACCTCGCCATCGTTCGGTCAATACCGTAAAGACTGAACGTTCGAGGTTAATAAGTAGTTTATCGAATGGCAATTGTTTCCTTAAAGATGATTCAGGCGGGAATGGTTAAACGTCCGGGTTCGGTTCACAATTTTACAATTCTTCTCGCTTCAATAGCTTTCAATGGATATCTGTTCCATCTTTTTTGTCCCAAGCGCTCAACATTATTTAACCAGATGATTTTCATATTCCGTCCAAAAATTCGTTCATTTTGAAAATGGAAGTCAAAACTGAAATTTTGCGATTTGATTTTGAGAGAATGAAATATTATCCTAGTGGAATCTAAGGGCCACAAATCGGTCGAAGTCGCATGTTACAAATTAAACTTCGTTTTAACGTGGAATATAATAATTCACTCTCAGAGCGTTTGTTGCCACTCATTTTTTTTTTTCAGCTGGTGCACTTTCGTTAAAACCGTAACATTTTCCAGTTATCTTTTGGTCCTTTTTTAGTAGGGCCATAAACAATAACTCGAGATGCCCGTGAGCAACTACGGCAAAATCCCGCCTTTCCAGTAGCCAATCAGAGCGCGCGCTATATCAGCTACAAACATCAGCCATATAATAAACAATGGTTATTGCCTGACATATTCATTTCTTGTGAAATATTTATTTTGGGATTACGCCCATCCATACATTATTCACACGACCGGTTAGCCTTTAGGCTTTTGGCTTAAATTGAATTGAAACATTTTGATGATTCCCTTGTCCACTGTGCCAGTTTTTTGTTTTTGTTTTTTGTTTTTTATTGCACACTAACACTCCCAAAAAGAGAGCCAAGGCTAACAAGCAATCGTTAACAAATAACTTAGACTACGAAAAAAAATATTTCTGAGTATTTCTCTCACGCTAATATTATCAAACTTCGATGTAATTGTTCAACTCATCGAAATGAACTGACCTTGACAACGCCAGGCTTAACACATGTTTGTTTACAGATTAGAAATAATGTTGTCTTTTAATACGTTCGTGATCAATAACAACGTATCGACAAAGGTGTTAAGTTGCCGACGTGGATAAAACCCGTAACCTTGTTTAATAATTCTTTTGAATGCCCGCACAGTGATTATACAGTAATTATCACAGACTTCGCCCTGCTGTGAGCGGCCATTGTCGAACAATTATCTTCCTGTAACTATACAAGCTAAAGATGTTTATTCTCGCTTTAATAACACATGGCTAGCAATATAAAAACCATAAGCAAGCGAATAATAAAAGCATTTTAAAAAAATGTCAGGTTAAGGTTGAATTTCACAATCTTCTTACCAAGATCGAGTTACTTCACTTTGAACTGTTTTGCTGGTTCCCAAGGTGACGGATGGAACGGTAGATTCTCCCGACTCCGTATGATTCATTTGTGGGAAAAAGTGGATGAAAGTGCAATGAGAAGTTTACAATAGATCGATGTTTGTGTTTGAGGTCAATCGTTGTAGTGAAAGAAGACGAATTCTCAAAACAACTCATCAGATAACAGTGTTGAATTTCCTGATAACAGATAGTACAGCACCGATTGCAAAACACCGGGTGTTTTTCCTGGGTGTTTATCTCCAAAACATGGCTCTTTTGTTACTCGTAATAAACGCCATATACAGTTCCTACAGCAAAGAAGTGTTCTTCTTCAAAGCAAGCGGTAACATACGTATCAAACTGATCATTCCACAAACAGCGACTCGCTATCCTCAGTCCTTGCCTCTCCTTGGATCCTATAGTAACCAGGCAAACCACTTTGTATCGCTCAATATTTAGCTGTTTAACGTTTTCCAACACGCGAGCGCTCAGCAATTTGGCAACAAACGGAGAGTGATTAGCGCTATACGTGTGTGAAGCTAACGTCTCCAAAGCCTCTTTGATCACTGCTCGGACCTTTCCTTCAGGAAAACGAATTTTTGGCTCCATACGGTATGTATTCTCGAAGCATCGTTTTTTGTCATCTTTCACGGTTGTTTCTGCCGGCTTCTTCCAACTGCTGAAATACGACGCGCCTGAAATTCGTCTTGCGCCAGGGACAGAAATGTTTCGTGAGGCACCATCTTGGGAGTATTTGCGCTCGCTCTTCACACTCTCCACCGAAAGACGACGTTGTCTGCTTTGGGAACTGTCCACTGACACTCGACGCAGATTTTCGTTTCTCCCTTGTCCGCTTTCATCCGACAGAGTTCGGCTGTAGCGGCGTGCCTGACTTTGTCGCCTTACCTGAGGACTGCTTTCGTTCATTTTAACAAGCTTTGCGTGGTCTGTCAATGCTAATCAGCGAACCTTAACTGTTTCTCTGTTTGACACGGAACGATTACCTTATTTAAATTGGTCCACTCGCAAACTGTTAACGCTTAACGAAGCAATTACTTCGCAATGATAATCCTGTAACTATTGTTCTCATGTCGCATGGATGGCGGAAGTCACGACTTTTTATTTACGCTCTATTGAATAAGTCACGCTATTTATAAATTTATGACCTGTGTTTCGTAACATTCGGAGATTGGAACCCTAAATAAAGCATATCACATTGATTGGCCCAAATCTTCCAGATTATGGGAACATGTGTTGCCCTCTTTTGACCTTATAATGCGAGTGGACGCGCTGTCCGCCTAGAATATTCTTTGCAGCAGCGAGAATTTATATAAAAATCGTTTTACATTTTCATATGATACTGTCAGGTCCTGTCAGTCTTCTCATAAATTTGGTTAC